TACATCAGATCACATCAACATGTCAGCCGGAGGGATAACGAGGGTCGTCTTTTGGATTCAAGAATTTCTTACAACAAGATGGCAAAAGAACAGCGCTTTGCAAGACATGCAACGTTAAGATCGCGGACAGTCAGATGACAACCTCCAATTTCGTCCGTCATTTGAAGAGCCATGCCCAGTAAGTGCTTGTCAATTTGTTAATGTTATCTGGTTAGCTCGTTCGTAGTTAGCTAGCTAATGTAAGTTAAAGGAGAACTCCGGCGCAAAATTACACATTGTTACCTAGTCAACCGTTATCTGAGATTTGTTTTCATGACTGCCGAATGTAAATAGTTTTATCTATAAAAACAGTTTAGCCTATAAGTGACGTCCGACATTCTGCATATTGTGTTATTTTTGTTAAGCCCCACTAAAGGCATAAAAAACTGTAAAGCACAATCAAGTTTTCACACTATATTCCAAGACTTCTAAAGTCATTCAATAGCTTAATGTGTGGTAAAATTAATATTTTAGTCTCTAAGTTAAAGTTAACGGAAAGTCATCTCGCCTCAGTCATTCTCCATGCATCAGCATTACACGCGTCGCGTTCGGTTGCGACAGTAACACGACGACACTCTCTTCAAGATCAATGTTCCCAATATTATACTTTATTTGTAGATAAGGCATAAAGGTCTATGATTTGCATAAAATGACTATCTTGCTGGAGTGGAGTTTATTGCCCTTTAGAATACACTAAGCATTAGTGCTGCACGATTAATTATATCGCAGTCGTAATAGCGATCTCAAACCTATGCAATTATATAACGCAAAATGCCGCGATTTTATATGAAATAAACAAAGTAGGGCTATTAGCGCAGCATCTCTTGTCATCCTTTGACTAGTGTTACAAGATCCCCCTCTTATTGGTTCAAATGCCTTTTCGCATTTTGCACGACAAGAAGTGAAAAGCTGCCTGTGAGTGCCCTAGATTAGAATAGATGAGACTCGCATAATGCGCATGCACTGACCGTGTGCCAGCCCAGAATAAACAGTTCTCTTTCGAGCTTGAACGAACAATAGCACACACAATTATGCCAAAATGTGGTTTTGTCTAGTATCTTCATAACATAAGAAAAGTCTATGGATGAAAAGAGTTGTATGAGGCGCGTGTGAGATCCGCGTCTCGGCAACGGGTGCTCTTAAAGGGCCAGCAGCGAATAAAGCGTTCTTTCAGTAAAGTTAAAAGAACAAAGGGAAATTAGAAAATTACTCACTGATCTTGAGTAAAGAACTTTTGTAGCTTTAATAAGGATTATTATATATATAATTTATGATTCAGGCAGCGCAGACTGTTTGATAACTTTATTCAATTTCTGTACCTGTTAAGACAGGAAGGGCACAGGTAAATATGTTTTTTATTATGGGTTTATGTGGGGATTGTTTGAAGTTCACTTAATTTAAAAAGCTGTTATATATTTTTTTTAAGCCTAATAATTTTTTAAAAGTTGATGGCTTTCAATTGATGGAATCACTGTAATGTTGGTTTGGTTGATGGTTTATTGATCATTATAGGTGTTATCAATCATTTATTGTTGTTGTTGTTTTTAGTTTGAGTTGAGAAATAAACATTAATCTGTGTGTGCATTTTACTTTAGAACCAAGCAAGTTGGACTCATGAAACCATTTTATTATATCGGAGTCGCAAATCGCAATTGCAATATTGGCTCAATAATGGCAATATGACATTTTCCCAAATCGTGCAGCCCTACTAAGCATAGATTATAGATACCATCCCTTCGCTATGTTCTTTTCAATGTGAAGCGTTGCGTGCTGTGACTTGGTGTTGCTTCAAGTGCATCATTCTGCACACGGGATGCGCATGATTGCTTATAATACTTTGGGGAGACAAGGGGGCGTGGCCTAAGGGAATATCACTCGTGATGTTAAGTGATGTTACCCCGCCATCGCTGATACAACCTTTAGCAGTCATGTTTTTGCTTCTTGAGAGAGAGAGAAAGTGTGTGTGTGTGTGTGTGTGTGAGCAGTGGCGGTTCTAGGCGGGGGCCTGGGGGGGCCAGTGCCCCTGCGACAACAAGCTTGGACCCCCTTGTGGCCCCCTAAATGTGGAGTCAGTGTGAAATATTTTTTTTATAGTGTGTCACGCATTGAGCATGACAGTCACTCGTTTCAGTCTTTTGTCTCACACTCCCGTCACACATTGTATTTCTCATGCGGAAAAACTATTAATAATATATTTAATATACGCAATTTCTCTGGCCGCGCCGCTCTCACGTGAGAATCAAGCGCGTCTCGCCTGGAGTTCAGCAGTCGACCCTGCTACGCATCAGCCAATCAAAAAAAGAGAAGTGCTACTTAATAGCCAATCAGAAAAGGGCACTATTGTATCTGGGTAAAATTTAACGCAACAACCAATGAAAAAAAGCATATCCTGGAATTGTTCATATGATTCTGTTACAACATCTTCCGAAAGTTTCTTCACCCGTCCCACAGATGAAACTAATCACTGGAGCTCCGAACATCACTTGGAGCACGGAGTAAGTCATGATCTCCTGTTTTAATGTTACAACAAATTCACAACTTGTTTGACAAAAACTATGACAACTTGACTGATGTAAGATGAATCTTTCCCGTAGCGTAAGCTAGCTTACGCAATGCTCGTTCCCTCATCTAGAGAGAACCGAGGTTACGTTAGGTAATCGATTCGTTTCCCATTTAATTAGTATCAGTCTGTAACTTAGACAACAGTTTTACAGCCTGTTCACTGACAACACCTGCTCAGAACAAGTAGTCTAGGCCTAGTCATCTTATTACACGAATCACGATGACTGACATATTGTCACATTATAAACATCTCTCTCTCCAAATAGGCTTAATAATTTTATTAGCACTAGATAAATTAAAGTGTAATGCATAGTCGATTTTAAAACATCTCTCTCTCCAAATAGGCTTAATAATTTTATTAGCACTAGATAAATTAAAGTGTATTGCATAGTCGATTTTATAGGTCACTTTTAAAATCATGTCATATTTTTATAATTATATCCTGGCCAAGGATGCATTAATTATTGCTTCTGTCTTTCAAAGATGTCAGGAAAAAAAACAATTATAAAAAAGCTCACTCACCCTGAGAGGAAAGCCCCCTAAAAAGGCCAGTTT